GGACAATTATGAAGAGATGCAGTTAAACAAGATATTGTTATCAAATCTTTTAAGAAATGTGGCATAAGCAATGCTTTGGATGGTAAAGATGACGAACCGGTTTATGAAGACAGTAGCAGTGAAAGTAGCAGTGTTCAGTTTGATTTTGAAGACAGCAGTGAAGACAAAGCGTTTCATGGTTTGCAAGATAGTGATTCTGATTAAAATTTTTGTAAAAACTTATAATATCTTTCATATTATGTATTTACCTTATAAGTGGTATAAATATTAATAAACAAAAAGTTCAGAGCTCCATTTATTTTGCTTCCAAGTCAAATATTTTAAATTTAAGTTTTTTTTTTACTCAAACTTCCTTCTTAAAATTAAGGTGCGTGTTATATGCCTGTGTGTGTTATACGCCGATAAATATGGTACTTTTGCCTATATCTAACTTTATAATATTAAGACCAAACCAGACATGATGTGAGAGATCCATTAGTAGATATTTCAATAATTTTTAAGACTTGAAAGCAGGTGCACTTAACAAAGATTTAATAAAGAATTGGGGTTGTAATGCTAGAGGAAGGTAGCTACTCTGTGCTAAAATCTCTACATGACTAACAGCTGATCGAGAAATAGATCATAAAGAAATAGGAATTAATAATTACTGCTCACACCAATCTAATCCCAAGCCTCCCCATGGCTTCTTTTAATTGGTAGGGGGAAACATTTGTCTTATTAGGAATCTTCCATGTCATGCCTCCTTTGTTGCTTATTTTTTAAACATTTAAGTATCTAAAATTAAAAGCAGAAGTGCACTTACCAATTCATAAAAATACTGTGGTATGGTGGAGGATTTTCATTTAAAATAAATTCACTTGATACCAAGCTAGGAGTTACGGTCTGTAGTGAACAATCAGAAAAATAAGGTGGTGGTGGTGGAGGAAAAACCATTACAGTATCACCTGCAAACGAAAAGACATGTTTTAAAATCAAAATCTTCTGCAGATTTCTTTGGAGCAGTAAATAAGACAGCCATGCTTCCAAAGTGTATTTCACTAGAAATTAACCATGAGTTGGAATATTTACTATGTATCTTTAAACTCTTTTCAGTTTTTCAAAATAATTACAGTATATTTTATACTGTATATTTTATAATGTATTGAATATTACTGATATATAACCATAAAAATGTTCTACCCACTAGAGATACTATAAGAAGTAATATTTATATAAAAGTATTGTTTATTTATGCTTATAAGATCAAATTATGTCCATGTTTAAAATGCCAACATTATTTTACATTTTAGGTTTTACAGCTTTTTAACTGTACAAATATGGCTACAGATAGAACCTTAATCATCCTATTGAGAGAGCAAGCAGACTTACATTAATTAGGTATAAAATACCTAAAATCAGTGAATATACCCAGCAGAAATATAAAGCAACTTACAAGAGTTTGCCTACAATTGTTAAAAAATAAAACAAGCACACTGTGCTGGTAATTAAATATTGAATAGATCCAATACAGCACTGGTAAACTCCATATGATGGATCACAAATTATAGTGTCTAATATATAGAGATGCAATACCTCATAGAACTGATATAAGGATGTTTGACTGAAAAATAGAATATAGAATTGAGTAATTCTTTCAACATTCCTTAAAAAGTAATTTCAGTGTATTGTTTTTAAAAATACTATTCTTATAAGTCACAACAAACATGCTGACTATTTTATCTCTTATAACTTTAAGCTTATAAGATTCTCATTGCAAAGCACTCTAGGTAGCTGTCATCCAGTTAATGGCATTTTAGTTTATTAATCATATTTTTAGCAAAATAATTATTCAGTTAAATTTCACTATTGTTCTAAAGCAAAATATGGTATCTTTGTGGGAACATCATGTAAAAACAATCTGCATTCTTCCACTCCCTTTTTCTAATTTTCTTCCACCCTTTTCCCAATGCCTGTCCCAATCTTTGAGAGCTGAGAAGAAATGGAATATTTCCCTTAAGTAATTCTTGTGAAGGGACGCTGAAAAGTAAATCTGACACAGAATTTAATTCAAACTGGAAAACAGTCCTAGACTCCAATTCAATATATGGATTTGTATCACTTCTAAAATATGAGTTTCCTTCTTCATAAAGTCTGTATTTTAATGTTATTGGACTTCTAAGTTAGAATAGACTTTTGGTAGCATGGACAGAATTTATTGTAGTTCACAATTTCATTTTTTATGATTTATAGTGTGCTGACCATAGTTCCTGATATTTATGCTTTGGTTAGAGCTTAATGGTGATTTTCAGACTTTTAAAACAGTATAATATATTCAGTTACTCATAATCAATTAATGATATACTGGAAAATGATAATCTCTATGACATTTGTAAATCCTTGGTTTACTTATTTGTATCCTACTCTTTTATCCCTTTCTTTTGTTCTTTTTTCTTCCCTATTCATATATTTTTTCTAAAATGACTAATAAAGATATATTGGAAGGGAAGGGAAGGGAAGGGAAGGACATGATACCGGGAGCTACAGATAACTGATAAAAACATCTGGCTGATTTATTTACTTACCGACTGTAACTTGAAATGATTCAGAGTTTAATTGTTCTTCTTCACTGACAGAAGATTCTTGGATAAGGGTTAAGTTTTGTTTCTTTTTAATGTGAGCTATCACAAAGAAACATAATCCAATAAGCACGATTAAAGGACCCATAGTTTGTACAGAATGAAATCCACAGTCCTGGAGTTCAATACTAGATGTATTGCTATGGTTAAACTGCTGATAGCGCCATCCTGGGCTGCATCCAGGAATCCATATGCCAAGGACACTAATAAGCATCCCACTTGTTAAAAATAAAAACCCAAAGACAAGGAATTGAGCAAACTGACAATTTCCTCGACAAAAAACAAATCCATATACCTGATCGTCTTGCAATTGCACATTTCTGAGATAATCTTTAGCTCTCGATTGTGCCAAAATTATACAAACTAATCCAACAACTGCAAGCAGAGGCCCAATGATTTTGAAAGCTCCTTTACAGTCACCGAAGGCTCCACTTGGACATGTCTGCAAAACAAACATTGATAGCAAAAATCCAGCACATAACAATGTAATGCCAAAAACAAAAAGGAAAGAGATAAATTTCCTAGGATGTCCATTATCTCCTTCCATTCCAGGCAGGGAACGAGGAACTGAATACATTATTATTATGTGAAATCCTCCTTCAAGATGAAGTAGAATATGTTGTCTTCTATGGAGATCAGAATGACATAACTCTTCAGCAGGCCTGGGAATTAAAACAAAAAGATAAATATAATTAACAACTAGAGGGCATAAAAGGAAAACACACTTATTAACTCTATCCTTGACATAGAATTGCAAAGTTGAAATAAGGTTATTCTGTGCCTGCTTGGTTTGGTGGAGACCAAGGATGTTCCAATGGAACATTATTAGCCCAAGAACAAAAACTAAAAAGTAGAAATATAAGATAGGAGAAAAGAAAGTTAGTGGAAACCTTCTGCACATTCTGGAAGTGATCCTGCTTTTAATAGCAGCAATAAAAGGGAGCTCAGATTAAAATAAGTTTTACAGTGAACAGGTACTTCCAAATGACTGCTTCCTTCCCATTCTCAGCCCCACTAGGAAGATCAGACCAGGAAATCAATTTCACAAAGGGAGGCTAAAACCATTTTTATTGAGATTGGCTATAACAAAATCTTTCAACTCTGATTTTTATTAGCAAATTCTTGGGTAATCATACTGAAATTAATCTAACTCAAAGAATTACTACAAGAGTAATATTGGCCAACTAATTAGATACACAGTTAAAATGCAAGTAGGGAAAGAAATCTTCTGGACTGGAAGGGGAAAGAGTTGAAATGAACTTAAATGAGAAGTCAGAGGACCATCATCTTATTTGGACCTATTAAAATAAAATCCAAGAACTTAGTTGTGTGTTAGTCACAACACTGGTTAAAGCCTTTATGTCTTTCAAGATTTCTTATCTGATAAAGACTTCTTTGGGTCAAGCTTGGTAACTGCTCATGTAGTTTTCTTAGCAACAATATGGAAGTAGTCTGATACTGCCTACTTTCTGTGTTGATGGTTTTACTTCCCATTTTACCGTACAGCTCTGATGTTTCCTGGTGGTCTCTTATCCAGGCCAGTCACTCAGTCTGTCAGTCATTCAAGAACTAATCAGTCTGATCCTGCTTAGCTTTTTGAGATGAGCCAAGATCAACTAGATGCTGTCACCTATCTGGGCACCACTGTGTGAAAAAATTAAGAAATCACAGATCTCTTCAGACAGAGAGACCCTTCAGACAGGGTCTATCTGTCTATTTTGTTGGAAAATATAATTTGAACTAAAGGGTTTTTTAACTGGTACTATATAGAATCTCCATTAGCAGTACCAGCTTAGTTAGAGATGGTTACACCCTGTGTTAACTACCAAACATGCTATAAAAGGGGCTGTCCTTAAAAACTGTCCAGAAACTAAAATTGTGCAAAATGCAGCAACAAGGCTCCTAATTGGTGCAAGATTCAGGACTGTATGATTCATTGGTTGGCAATTGTTTAGCAGACATAAATCAAGCTGCTGGCACAATCAGATTACTTTATATGCTATGCAATTCTATGAATATCTCCTCAAAATTAAGTCTGGAGGCATAGGACTGAAGCCTTGAACTATTATAAAAAGTAAAAAATAATACAGACTTCCATCCAGTTTCTTCTAATCTAAACATTTCTTATACTGTACTTTCTCTGTATATTGGCAATTTTTTAGTTCAAAATTGAAAACAAAGCATTCAATGAACTTTTCTACTCCCCCTTATAAAAAGGGATATAAAGACTAAGACAGATTAAAATATAGGTAGTACCCAGTTTAAGAATGAGTTCTGTTCCCAAAGTCTGTTCTTAAATCAAATTTGTATGTAAGCCAGAACAGTATTATATAATATTGTATAAGTAGTATTGTATAATTAACTCAAACCATTTAGTTCAAATCATTGTGTATTTAACTCAAATTTTGCTACAATAGGCTCTGTTCTCAACTATGAGCCATCTGTAAACTGGCTGTTCTTAACCCAGGGACTACCTGTAATAGCAAAATTACCAGAAAATAAAGGAGAAAGCATAGATCTTTTAATTATATTTATAAAATGGTCTTTTCTATGCCAATCTTGTAATGCAATTAAGAAGATAGACAGACAGACAGACAGACAGACACAAACCTGAATCAATCCATTGAAGGATGAAGGCCTCTTCATTGAAGTTTATGAACCATAATCTACCACACTGATTCAGTATGGATTGGTACATAGATGTTTCCAACTTCCCAGTCTAAGTTTGACAGAGACTGGCCACAAATCACCCAGCCAACTTCCATGCCTAAGAGAGGACTACAATCTGGATCACTCTACTCCTAGTCTAGCATTTTAATTGCTACACCACACTGGCTCTCCTACACATACTAATTATCTATCTATCCATCCAATCATATTTTCTTAAACTTTCAAAATTAGGGAAAAAAGAACACAAAGAGCTCTTGGTTGTGGAATGAACTAAACTTCTATGCTTAAAAAACAATGTATATGTTTATTATGAATTTTAAAAGTGAAATCATTGTACAATTAACATTAATTAGTTTGAAGTTCTGTCAAAATGTTAAATATTCACTTTAAGAGTTTAATACCATTCTCAAAGCTATCACCATTTCAAAACAATTAAGTTTCAATAAATCCACTGAAATGATCTGAAATATATTCACAGTTTTAATGGCATTACACCTGTGCAAAGTATTACAGGTGAATTATTAGGTGAATTAATGGTAAAAGGAACAGATAGAAACTTCTTGTGGTAGAATGCCATTGCTTTATCTTGACTGTCACTACATCCCTATACATGGTTATTCAGAAATAAGTCTAGTGCAATTTGCTCCCATGTAGGCAAGTACAAAATTGCAGCTTAATTTAGCTAAGAACTAAAAATATGAAACACTATTATCCTGAAGAATATAAATAAAATTAAACTCAAGCTTTAAAAAACTTGCAGACCATAGTGCCTATACATGCGTAATTGTAATCAAAGGATTTTCAGTTTGCTCAAACTGTCTGAAATATTAAAATAATGTAAGCCAAAGAAAGTATACAACACCCTACAACAATTAAGTATTGAAAAGTGATTTTTATTCCATCTAGCCCCCAAAGTCTAAACAGAAGATTCAAATGACAGAAGGGTTACTATACACTTCTATCTTCAAAGAAAGCAGAAGAAACAGAATGTGTACTTTTCAAAATAGGTAGTAAGTTAGACTTATATTGTCATAAGCAAACTAGTTGTCTAAATCAGGGAGCTATGAATATGATCAAAATGCTACCAGCCACTAGTTGCAACTGTCATATTTAGTAAAGGTAGTTATTAATAAGATCTGAAGGGGAGACTGAACATGGGGGAGAAACAGAGACAGTTGTAACAAGCAGTTGCACACAAACTTAATTTTGTTCTTTAGAAAAATGTGCATGGGTATATGCCTGATAGCATCTGAAGCTATTCTTAGCTACATTTATAATCAAACATATATTTGTTTTATAAGTCAGCAAGAACAAGCCACTTAAGAGAGAATTCCTGCCAGCAGAATTTTTTGTAAACTCACTGACAAGCTTGCATATTTTCCTGCCTAGGTAACATTTTTAATGTAACACTACATACCTCACTTTATCCCATTAAGATGGTAAGGACGTCAAAATTCAATCTGTGTTTGTAGGACATACTGAGCCACTAACTAGCCAACCAAATTTTAGTCTACTATGCTGGATGAATTCAGTCTGTATGTATTTATATGTGTGTGTTTACGGTTCAGTGTGTCATGGAAACTTATAAAACTGGGTTATTCCAGTTAATCATTGTTAGGTTAATCAAATGCAAATATCTGGGAACACAATCTCTTTTGAATAATTTTAGGGTAGTCATGTCAGCTTTATAGAATAAAATGAGGCACCTTGTGGTACTCTATGTAAGTTATTATGACCTACATTTTGAAGGACTGGCATCCATTTCATGAGATGTATAAAAAGCAATCCTAGTGTTTATACTGGCACAAGCAGGAGATCCAGCCTCTGAGTAAGAAAGGCAGCCCTTGCCATAGGTATTGCAGGAAGCAACCATACATACATACAGTGCATACACCACTGGCAGATAGCAGTAGCCCAAAGGCACGGGACAAGCAGATACCACAGCTTCCTGGAATAGTTGGTGCAGGATTTCAGCATGAACGTTTGCAGAGAACTGGATCTGCAAAATGGGGTACTGTATGTTTTGATGTGGGAATTTTTTCCTCACTGGAACATCACCTGTGCTGAACGAGGGTATCCACCCACACAAGAGTGGAAAAACATCCCTAATTTCTGGCAGTCCTATTTAAAAGAACCCATTTTACGAATCCAACCCTACCTCCAAAACATCACATTGACAGCCAACTGCTTTCTCCTTAACTGATGCTCTCCAGATGTGCTGGGCCAAAATTTCAATTTCCATCACCCCCTCCCCTCTCCAGCCTGCATAACCAATGGCTGTCGTAGCTAAGGACGAAAGAGTTATAGTGCAAATGAAATACTTGTGGAGCGGAGATCTGCTTGAAGACTAACTTGCACGTATGGAATAAGCTCCTCACGTTTAGAACAAAACCAAAATAAAAAAACCCACCGGCGTAAACAGGCTTTTCTTTTAGTGGCAGGAAAAGGGATGGCGGCGCCGCGAAGAAGCCGCAATCAAGGAGTTACGCCGACACCGGAGCAAGCATCGGCCTCGGTCTCAGTAAAAATCCTGAGGGGCAGGTCCGAACGGAGAAAAAAAAGCATGTCCGTACCAGCCGCCATTCCTGCCTGCAAAAGCCCAACCGAGCATCCGCTCGTTTCTCCCACCCTCCTTTCCCTGGAGAGGAGTCGCCCCAACACTGGAACCAGAAGCGTGGCTACTACTACCTTACACCAGAGAGCCTCTTCCTTTCTCGGCGGGCTCTGGGTTGGGGGGCCGAGAAGATGGTAGCCTTCCTCGGGCGGCGAGCGCCGGCTTGCTGGCGCCCGGAATGACCTTGAGCCGGAACGCTCCCGTAGTTTTCCTCCCCGCTCAGGTCCTTCCTCCGCAGCCGCTACCCCGCGTTTCCCCAATCGGCGAGCCGCGCCGGGAGAGCAAAGCGCGCGCGCCCTCTGGAGTGAAGCCCCTTCCCGAAAAGGCGCGCAGGGAGGGAGCCGCGGAAATGACAGAAATCGGGCCTTGGAGCCCGCTTCTCCCTCTCTCTGTCTCTCTTAGGACGGGGAAGAAGTTGGCATTTTAAAGCGTGACGCGTACGAGCAGAGTTTGCAGGTGCAAGCTGGCAATTTCATGCCCAGGGGAAAAAAAAACTCTTCAAGAAGGTACATCACTTCCATTAGAAACAGACGCTTCCACATTTTCCTTTTTTTTCTGGAGGGATTAAACGTTCACTACGTTCAGTGCAGCAGGAAAGGATTATATAACAAAATACAAAAATTCTTCCAACTTTTCTTTGCCTCAGGGTAAAATACATAAACCTTTTAATATCAAACAATGGCTAAGCATTAAAACTTGGATAATTGTGGAATCTTGGTTTCTTTGGCTATCATTTTAGAAATATTAAATGTTGGTATGACAGATAAGCATATGCAGATGTGTGCTTGTAATTGTGGCAGGAACTTCTTTACAACTACAGCTGAGGAATCCCAGCAGGAAAAAACCCCAATGGTAGAGCTGAACATAAGGTGAATGTTTTGTCTGTCTATGTGGGCCCCATGAAATTGCTTCTCTGCCTGGAAATTGTAAGCATGGCATTGATGCCTAATTTAGGGGATTTTGTTCTTATGCTTAAAATCATTCAAGCCATAGGTGAACATTCTGTATTTAAGTTTGTGTTCATGGGGAAACTATCAAGACTTCTATAAATCAGAACTGCTGCTTTGAATAATAGATTGAAATATTTTCCTTGAGTTTGGATAGGAAGATATGACATATATTTAATAGATATTAAAAACACAATTCATTAGGAAGATACAAATATCTGATGTTTACCTGACCACTACAGGTCTCCAATTTTACTTCAACAATAATTGTACAGGGTTCACCATCAGGTAAATAATGAACACTTTTCTAATATGACAGGGATATAGATACAGAAACTATTTAGCACTAGGTAAATCTAGAGCACTTTCTGATTGATAGATGTTTTCAGGACAGTTATCGGATCCAATTATTCTCAAGAAGACTGTTTTGGGAACTTGAGTTTAATTTTTCATTTTGCTCTAGTTTTTTGGGAAACTGCAGCAAATTTAGTTTTGAACTGTGAGTGATCCATTTTTCTACTGGAGGTAATTCTTGCCATTCCCCGCTTCCTGTGTTTGTCACTCATTATCCAGAGGCTGCATACCTGCTTCTCTACTTCCAGCATGCTCACAACCTTGCCTAATCCAGCCAGCATAACAGCTTGTATCTATGGCTTCAGTAGTTGGAGAAAGTTCTTGATGGCAAAACTGCTCACATGCTTTCATACCAACTTTGTGGGTCACAAATTTTATGTTACTGGATTACAGTGAGCGTTACAGTGAGCAAAAAAAAGCCTCCCAACAACAAAAAGCCCACCGGGGAATTACAATAATTAGCTTACATTTTAAAAATTTATACTCTATATTCTCTTCATAGCTACACCTCCATTTTTTTCCCCAAATCACAAAGGAACACAAATACACGTAAAGAAAAATATGGGTCAGGAGGGTGGTGGGAGTTTAGCAATTTCTTTCTTTCTGTATGCAATGGGCACGAGGGGACTTTTATTATTCCACAAACCAGCGACAGGGAACAGGAACAGACTGGATGTTTTTTCCCCCCTTACATTCTGATACCAATCAACTGGAAGAGAGAGTGAACACTAATGTGCTTTGGAAGTGCTAGACTCACAAACCTATAGCCATAGTAGTGCTCAACAAATAGCAAAGACAATGGTAGGTTGATAAACAGTTTCATGAGGAACTGGGAGGTGGAAATGCTAATGGCTTAGAAGTGCTCAAAGACTAACAGCATTTTACATCACTTGTATATTTGCTTTAAGGTATCATACACTATATGTATGTTATCATGGTCTCACATGGGCTAGTTAACTGAGTTGCACTTACCTCTACAGTGGCACAAAATAAACTTGTGACAACCAAAAAGAATACTTTTGATTTGCCACAAGATTTCACAAGTAGGTCAATAAAAGCAAATGCTGAACATCAGGGGACTAAAAAAGCATACCTTTAAAACTGGCTATACTGTAATACATATTCCTTTCCAGTTATTTATAATGCTGCTATACAGCACTGATAATGATATGACTACTAGTACTTAAAATTAGTTATTGTGAAAATACTTGCTTTCTAAATCAGCTTTCTCAGAAGTAAGTCTCACTGGTTTCCATAGAATCTACTTGATGGAGATCAGCAGGACTACAACCTCGGAACCTTTTTTGGAAAGTACTTGATATAATATGTGGCCTTGATGGTAGAAAAGGAACCAATTCTAATGGTGAAGCAGAATAAAATGCATCGCCTTATTCATAAAATCTTACATTTTATCTGAAGACTGCCCACAGAATACTTGAGGATAATGTATGATAGCATATAAACAGCAACAACCAGATTGTAAGTTATATATTACATGTTTATTATAGGTGCAATTTTTAAAACATTTTGTAAAAGATCAGATGTATTTACAATTTCTCTAAGATTTATACTGCTCTAATTTACAATTTGTAGAAACTGCAGACCCTTCAGATTTGGGTTTACAAATTCTCCCAAAAGGCAGCTACAAAGGTGATCTCTTTATAAACAAGCAAGATCCAGCTTGCTACATGAAATTTCCATCAGATATGTTTCATTTATATACATCTATATCTATATTTAGATATAGATATTTCTTTTAAAAATTCTATATAAAGTTGCATGGCTTCAAACTGATAACATGCAGCCTTTGTGAATGTGTATTTGAGGATATTTGGTAGTAAGGCTAGAAAGTGCTGAAATTTAGCACTAATTTAGAAAGAACACATGATTAAAATGGAAGATAAAACAGGCTGACTTTCAAAAGTAAGGTATTAAACTGTTCAGACAGTTGTGATTGCATTAGCACATTACAAATAAGAGTCCATTAAAACTCTGTACCATCTGAAATGCCAATTTTAGTTAAAAATTCTAATAATTCCATCAAAACTATCATTCTACAATATAAAAATTCATTGTGTAGTGCTGTAATGGAATCTTAGTTAAGATTTTTCTAAAATAATGCAAACATGTAAAAAGTAATTTTTGATTGCAATTCTATAATCAGTTATTAATGTATGAATTATTCATGCTTTTCAGTATTTGGGTTTATGTATGTGTGACAACATCTACAATTGGATTAATTTTTGGTAAAAAAGTGAGACTGAAGAACTTTGAGCAACAGGCCAGAGTTGACCATCAAAGATAAAAGTGTGTTTTTTTCTTCTTAAAAAGGAAAAAGCTTAGCTGCCATTTTTTTCCCATCCCAATAACGTGCCAGAGAATTATACATCACAATGTAATATCTTTCTGAGAGACATTATATGCCAGTTAGAGAATGAATGTTGCTGGGCTGCTGAGGGCAGCGTATCTGTCACATGAAGTGAAGGAAAAGGTTTTATTTAACTTTTAAAGCAGAGCAGAAGAAAATAATTGATCCTTGTATCTTTAAAAATAAGACAACCACATCTTAGGTCTCTGATTTTGCCCATCCTGAAAGTCACTGATATTTTGTAGGAGATTAATGGTCCCACAAAAGGTGGGAAAGGGCTTTTCCACTTAATCCTGAGTATAAATTCCTTTGATGCCAATAGAACACATATAGCTATATTTGTAGTGTGCTTAGGATGCATCAGAATTTAGTGGCTATATAAAACATATTAATCCACTATTTTACTCATTAGAAGTATTGTACACTGAATTAGTGATTTTAATATATGCTTTTGTTAGGAACTGGATTTCAGAAAAGTACTTAATCTCTGGTACAGCTACTGACTATATAATTCACCAGCCCCAGTAACTTTTGATTTTTGTATTTAATGTCTTAAAAGCATAAGGCATAAATTCTAAAAGCAGGACTTGTATTAAAATTATCTAAATGGGTCACTTTCATTTTTTTAGGGCTATTATCTGCCTCTGTACTAATGTGGCCATAAAATATTTACTGAAATTACTATCAGTAATCGTTTTTGTTTTGCTCAAACCAGACCTTTAAAATAACATTGCCGCTCACAAGCAACACTTACATTCATGCTATATGTTTGAAAGCATGTGAAATTCAGCTTTTTGTAGCTAGCAAAGGAAATGCTGCATTTTAATATATTATTATTATTTTAAAATTTAATACACTTTCAGGATTTTGCACATCTTTGGTGATATTTAAAATTTGTATACTGTAATATTAACTGACAAGAGTTATAAAGTTTCCTTTGTAATGGCTGCATTTATTGCATTTAACCCAACAGAAGTTATTTTAAATGCTATTTTATGCTTCAATTTCCAAATGCCAGGTTATGTCCAATTGTGCCTATCTTCCAGTGAAAGAAATTGTAGTGGCTGATTGGCTTCTCCCTCCCACTTGAAATGCCTCATTCCCCCCCCCCCCCAAAATCTACATCAGAAGTCCTGAGGAATCTCCCTAGCAAATTTGAGGGATGCATGGAAGGTAGAACACAAGTGATTCTTCCATTCTGTAAGCAGAAGATCATTTGCATCAAGTTTACTGTTTGGAAGATCTAGATAATGAAAAAAAGGTAAAGAAATGAGAAGCACATAAACATTTGACAGGCACAGTTTTGAAAAGGCACAAATATTACACATTTCATATAAAAATAAATAATCTACAGCATTAATTAAAATTACAACTCCCATCAAGTTAACTAATGGCAGAAGCAAATAACTCTGTTGTACATTGCAATTAAAAAAAAAACATTGCACTTTACATTTTTAAAAACCATCTCCTATAAAACACTGGTCATTTAATTATGTATGATGTATGGAAATAAAGTTATTTTTATAGATATCTCTAACAAGATATGACACATGAATATACAAGAGTGAAAACAAAAAATACTTTGCCACTGTTTTGTTTATGGAATGGCAATATTGGAAACTGAAAAATATACTTCAGTAATATTTATAGAAAGTTAAAATATAGTTTTGTTTAAGGTATCACAAAGCATCACACACTTTAAATACCACACAACTGCTATTTTGGCTCTGAGGCTACATCACTACTAAGTATTTCAGTATCTTGTTTCCCAGTATTGCAACTGATTTTCTATACAGTTGGAGTTCACTTCAGTGCTATTTCAAAATAGAGTATTTTTTAAACTGACTTATTTTCAAAAGTGCATTTTGTTGGGTATAAACTCCAAAAACGATGCAATGTGTTTTCAGAAATTAATGCATGTTAAAATAGTGTTGGAAAGATAGCAAGAGAATGAACAAACTTCTTATTCATTGGAAAGAAAAAAAACTTTCTTAACAGGCTGTTCAGCAGTCTGCCATATATCGTCCTGAAAGACATAAAAAGTTCCACAGTTATTGCCTTAAGAAACATTAATAGAAAAGTAAGTTTTTAAATCAGGCTTCCACATTTTTGGCTATCATGGGCTGTGTGCTTCAGTCCTCTGGTAGAGATGATCCCTGACCTTCCTTCTAAAATTGGGATTTCAAGAATTGCATGAATCCTCCCACTCCCTCCCTAACTCCAAGGATGAAAGACAGACTGGGAACTGCTGGGTTGCAGCCAAGGAACCTGGTGTGCTTTATCGTGCAAGGCCCAACTGCCAAGCTCTTTGCTGCCCTTTCACAGAGGAGGAGAGCTTTCCTGGGTGTAGAACTGTTAAATGAACCAGAAGAATTGGCAGAGAACTACAGTACTTGGCTAGGTCCCAAAAGCCAGACAAAAATTGTGGACTTTTAAAGGCTGAATATATTCCCTCTGTGTGTGTATCTACGCATGCAGTACTGTGCAAAAGTTTTAGGCAGGTGTGAAAAAATGCTGTAAAGTAAGAATGCTTTCAAAAATATATATTGTAAT